CATAAATCAGTGGCTGTCTTCCCACAGGTATATTGGAAACCAATGGGTTGTGCCTTTATAATACAGCCGGGTACACAATGGGGAAACGGACACAAAAAGAGTTTGAATAGCTTGAAAGGGACACAGATGTGAAGGAAATTTGAGATGTTTTGATGTGAAAACCTTTAGATGGATCACAATAGAATTAAAAGTTTATTTGAAAAGAGCTTGTAGGATTTAAATCTGACCTAGCAAGTCAATGTTTGAAAGCAGTATTTTTGCTTTTTAAAGGCGCAACTCTGATTTTTCTTATCCAACAGACTTGAAGTATAACACAAACTGCAATGATGACCCTGTTAAAGTTAGTGTTTTAATATACCAAAATTAATCTTTCCAGGTGAAATGATGTTCATGACATTTAGGTCACTTATGCATTTGAGTGTGTCCCAGATAAATTAGATAAAATTTAAGGCAATTTTAATTTCATGGTCTCATGAGTATTTTATCTGAAAATTATTCCTAATAATGTTTTGTATGAAACCAAAATAAAAATGCAAAACAGTTTTTAACCCCAACTTTGCTCCCCTTGACCAGATTTAATTAAATATCACTAGTTTTGTTCTCCAATTTTAAACTAATACAGGTGATTTTTTTTCCCCTCAAATGTTTTAAAAACCAAGGTAGCACTGATAAAAATTAAAGCCAGCGGCTCTGCCCTCACTTTAGAAGTCAGGTCTCTTTAAGCCGTAGGTAGTTTGGGAGTGAGTCCAGATTTGCTGCTGTGTAATCTATCTTGGTTGAGTCAGGCAAGGAGTCTGAGGTCCATTCTGACTCACCATGAATTGTGTCCTGGTATTGGCTGAGCCTCAGGGAAATGGATGGTTTAAATACTGTGAGAATCTTTATCAGCACAGGAAATGACAGCTCATTAAAATACTAACCGTTAAGCCTGTTTAGATCACTGTCTGGAAGAAAATTAACCATTTGAAGGTTCAGATAATTTGCCAGAAGAAAGTGCTCTTTTTGGAGAGTGGTGGAAGCATGCAGTCAGCTTTACTTTCTAGTATAGTGGCACTTGACATGCATCCATTCAAACCTGTATATCAGGGGTTTATAACCTGGTCATAAAACTCTTGCTGAGAAAATGTTAAGCCATGCACAATCGTAACATCTTGAGCCTTTTTAAGGAAGGTAACACAATGTGTAATTGTAGCTAGTGAATGCCTTGTTCCTCTTCTGCAGTTACTCTGGGAGAAGTAAAGCATACAGCTCCTGAAGTAGCAACTCAAATCTGGGTATTTTAGGAGCTGTATGTGATTTACAGTAGCTTTCCACAATTGTGTGGAAGTTGAAGGCCGTTGCTCTGTCTGCCATTGCTAGTTTGATCAACAAGCAGAACCAATCTTCCTGGGAGTCACAAATAATGAAAGAGGAGAGCCCAGAGCAGTAAATTCCCTACATGAAACTTTTGACTTTTCCTTACTTCTTAGCACTTTCTTTTTTGTAGAGGCAGAGAATCAGTTTGGCCTTAGGCTAAGTTTTATTCTGTTAGTGAAATCAGAATATATTCATGGCTCATGCTGACAAAAAGCAAAAGGATTTTTTTTCCTTTTGGCACCACCCTTCCCCCCCCCCCCATAAAAAAGGGGCCTCGGAATGTGATCATATGTGATCTTTTTGTCTGTTTTGGTGTTTTAAGCACAAAAGGGTTAGAGGCAAAGTGGCCAGTTCAAAAACTCTTCCTACAGCTATGGTGAACATATGCTTCCTGACTCAAGTTGGGCATTCTGGGTATTAATCTCTATAATTTATCACCCACAAAAGCAACATACAGCTGAAGAGAGGCAACAGACCGGGTTAGTATGGGCATGTCTACACTACAGCATTATTTCAAAATAACAGGCTTCATATTCCAGAATAATAAACCCTCATTTCATTAATTATAATGAATTGCTGTTAATTATAATAATTGCTGTTTCGAAATAGCGGTAGTGTGAACACTCCACTGCTGCTATATTGTAATAGCTCCTCCCCAAGGTCATTCAAAGTAATTACTTCCCAGTGCTTGCTGGGGCTCTAAACCAAGGTAGCGTGTCCACATTAGGGGAGCCTGCCGTGGACTAATTTCGAGGCTTCTCTGTAGTGTGGATGTGCTGTTTCAAAATAGTTATTTCGGGAGTTATTTGAAATAACTTGTTTCAAAATACCTTTGCAGCGTAGACATTCTCAAAGAGAATGTATTCACAGATATGCAGAGGCATTCTCTGTCTGGGAAGCACTGTAGAAAATTGATCTGAACTGAAGGAGATTCTCACATGGGCAATTCATTGATGAAGAAGGACAGGTATTTACTTGACTCTGTCTCTAGCTTTATTTTAAAACAGTACAGTTCTATAGCTGTACCACTTTTGGCCCCAATTGTAGGAACTCTGACATGTTAACCAGAATGTGGTACGTAGGGTCCGTTTTCTTATGAACACTGTCTCTTCTTGAACAAACACAGTGCCTGTGTGTTTAGTAGCCATGTAGTCTGGACAAGCCTAATCCGGATATTAGCAGTGAGTCTTTCCACCTTATTGGGAAGGGTGTATTTTTTAAAGAGAACATTCACAAAATGTGACTCAAGCCTGCATCAACACCTTTTATTTTAAGTGATCTGTTTGAGGCTAGAAGCCCGGCTTATAGTTTGCATAGTGTATTTAGCATTCTGGTTTAGATTATTTTTCCCCTTGAAACTATTTCCAAGATAAAACTGACCTGCATATATTCAGACTTTGAGCACTTTGCATTTTTTACTGAGCACAGACCAGAATTTAATTCCTGTTATTCAGTTCATTTGTCTAATGGGGTATGGAATTAATGTAAATTGCTAATATCCTGATTCAACAAAATATGTAAGCACATGCTTAAAATTAAGCAAGTTCTTCTTAAGTTATTCCCTTTTGAGTACTGTAGAAAATTGGTTACCTTTCATTAATTCTTTCAGCGCTACATAATGTAAAGGTATGGTGGGCTAAAAATCAGTGCTACCCAGTTTACCTAATTACATTGAGATTCCTATTCTGCAGAAACTTATACATTGAGTAAGTTTACACACGTGCCTAAGTGTTAGTAAAATTATGCACATACGTTTCTAAACTCTCTGGTAGTGACCTTTTCTGTAAAGTTGTAGTACAATGTTAGTGCAATAGAAATACAGAAAAGGATTATCCAATTGCCTCAAACTCTGACAAAGTTCTAGTTATTTTTATGTTCCAAGGCTATTTTTAAAGAACATGTTAATGAAGTCTCAGAAAATACAATCATAAAACAGTAAAGGGTACCAACCATACAGGAGGTATAATCAGTAAAAACTAGTCAAAGTATACAATGAAGCTTTTTTTCTTTTAAAAAAAAAATCATCTGAATTTTAATATTGCTGAATATTTGTGTATATTGTAACTTAGGGTGTGGCAGGATTTTATATTTGTGTGCTAAATACCTGTGAAAAAGTACTGCTAACACTTTTTAAATGGTGTTCCTGGATTCTAGGGCCAGACACAAGCACGGCTGCCATTGTTGACTTTGGCCTTTTGCAGAATTGAGGACATAGAACATACCTAAAATAATTCCTGTTTGAACTACAGTGTATCTTTTAGAAAAACATTGTCTTGATTTAAAAATTCCCAGTAATGGAGAATTCACCACAATCCTTGATAAATTGTTCCAATGATTAATTTTTTTGGTGCAACTCTTCCAAGCAGTTGAATTTTTGTGCGAAAAGTCTGTCTTTTTCCCCAAAGAGAGTAAGCACCATTTCATTATCACCATCAGACATTTGATAGCTAGAGTTTTGTAGAGACAATGATTTTTTTTTTAAAGTTAAAATTATGTAAGATCCAGCAAATTGCAGTGTGTAGTGACTTTTTGACACATCAGTTTTGATTACTATAGCCTGCAGATAATTTATCAGTGAATTGCAAGTGAGTTAGTAACTCAAGAAGAAATGTGTGTTCCAGTCAGTTAAACCAAAATCACATTTTATCACTATTCTTTACAGAAATTTTAATTCTGTTTAGCTGGTGCTGATGCATTCTCTTGAATCAGTGATATTTTTTGAAAAATGAGTAAGCTCTTTAATGCAGGATCATCCAAAGTTCTTCATGATGCTTCCAAGATTTCTAAAGTTTTGTTCCATTCATGAAGAATTTGCAAATCTGTTTTCAGATGAATATCTCAAAACATGATATTTAAAACAGGCAAATGGGCAAATGAAAATAAAAAATCTTTTAAAGCTAACTGTAGCTTCCAGCTAAACAGAAGTGATTTAGAATAGATTTTTACGACATTTTGTGAAATTGGCGCAAAATCTAGTAATAAGGGAATTGCTTTTATAGTAATATTATAGTGCAAATGAATATTTTTGACCTAAATTATTATAAAGGAAGCCACTGTCTGTGTCAAATGTATTTAAGCTTCCAACAAGTTTCAATATATTTTGATAATGTTAAATATTAACATGTAACAATTATATACTAAATCTGATGCTTCTTGAGGAATTGTGACTAAAGTAAAATAAAAAGTACAATTTCAGGTTATGCAAATGGTCCATATTTTTTTTTTATCTGAAATCTCTCATTCTGAATCCAAATGGAGAGAGATTTATTCTGGCAAGCAAGATAAAATCTAAAAAATATTTTCGAAAGCTTAATATAAAAATAAAGCCAATCTCACTCTTGCATCAATATCAGGGATGCAAAGGCAATTAATGAATTTTGCAAAATAATGAATAAATACAAGAAAGGAGACTAACTCATGGAATCTCCTTTACTCACTCACAACAGTCAAAACGGCTTTTGATGTTTCATAATGTCTTGGTGAATAATCTTTCTTTTTAAACAAAAATTGAGTTCATACCTCTGTGTTGCTAAATCTTTGAATGGTAGGGAGCTTGTGTGTGTACAGATTATGTAGTGTATTGATGAGAGAGTTCTGTTGTACTTTGATTTCTTCTCCCATTGACTTCTTATTTCTTTTAAAAGACCACAGGCTTTATCCTTAACTATGGAAGCTGAGAAATCTGAACAGGATGGTAGCTTGGAGTGTGTGGGAGAGTGCTTGAAGTCATCTTACTGTTCAGGGAATATCTTTCTCCTTCCTTTATTCAACTAATTGTGCAATGGTATATGTGGTTTTAACCACTAAAGATTAAGAAAAATTTCACTCTAATATTGGAAATGTACTTGTATAAATCTACTACTTTCTAAATTTCACTGTAGCAAAAATGTATAAAATGCACATTGCTTTGGCAATTGTGCGTATAAGTATGTCTTAAGATACAGTCAGTTGTTTAGTAATGCAGAACCTAGTTTAGCGTTCCTGTGGTTCTTGTATGTATGGCCCAAAGGCCCATAAAATAGCTTAATGAATTTCTGTCATAAAGCGAACTTCAGTCATCATTTGCCATTATAAAAAACTGTGTAAAATGCTTTAAATGAAATAAATGTTTAAAATGTGCTCTTGATGTAAAAGAAGGAAATGCACTAATCTGAACTCTGTGAATATCTTAAATTTCATGACACTGTTGTGGTGATAGCCATTATAATTTGGAGACCAAGTAGATGATTTTTTTTTTTTAAACAAAGGGCTGGGACAACTGCTTCAGTTCTTACTTTTTAAATCAGAAGTGTTTAAATATGTAAAGTTTTAAAAGTAAAATATTATCCTTCAGTAGCTTTTTCCTTTATCTCATGTGTATGTGTCATTTATTTAAAAAAATAAAATTACACAAGAGTTTTAGAACAGTGACTCGTACTGAGCAACGACTCATTCGGGAGAACTTCTGCCGCAAACTAACAGCTCCGCCTTTATGGGAGTTTTCAGAAGTACTCTAAATAGTTCCTAAAAGTTGCTATAACCTTATGTGAAATACATGGAGGTACGTATACAGTCACCTTGCTAAATTTTTAGGAAAATTTACCAGTCCCAAAATGTATGGTGATGAGGAATCAGTGAAGATTTTTTTTTTTTAAACTTGGCATTCAGTAAAAAATTTTGCCTCTAACTGGTGGAGCAAATCTTATGAGCAAGTCTGATAGTGAGTTATTTGTACATCTCTGATTCTGTGGATTTAATATATTTGGAATATTAGAAAGCCACTATGTTCCTTTTTAAGCTATACTATATTTACCCAGGCAAATATAATCTGTCTAGTGAAAAGCAGTGAATAATAAATTCAGTATAATAAATAATTAAAATATAATCTGGGAAGTGCTTTTTTCCTTTTATTTTAAAAGCATATTAAGTGATTTTGAAAATCAGATAAGGAATGTCTGCATTGGGGAAATTTTTATGAAATTCATGACAAATCCATGACAATTATGAATTCATGCTTTGACAGAAATTCATAAAATCGCACTGGTGTTTCTTTGCGATTCTTAGTGTCGAGAAGGGTCCAGTCATAGGAAGTTTGTCACCACTGATGGGAAGTTGCTATAGTGTACACTGTGCACAAAGACTTAAAATCTCTCATGGGTAATTCTAAAACACCCAGAACCATGTATTAGTAGCAGATAGGTCCCTATGGGAGGAGAGGATACAGCTTCTGACTTAGGTGACTGTTGGCTGGAATGATGTGCAATGGTTAGAACTGTGGTGTCCAGCCAGTTCTGAAGCAGTATTCACTGCAGTGGCTACTGCTATAGTGAAGTAGCCCCACACAACCAGCCATATAGCCCTATGTGGCTTGCATGTTGCACACAACAGGGTTAGATAGTGGATAGACAAAACGATACTGATTCATTTGAGTAGCCTCAGGTTACAATTTTAAAAAATGCCCTGGCATCTGCAGAATGGCATTTGGTAGCTACTTTGCTAAGCCTGTCCAACATAGTATTTCCAGCCCTTTATAGAAGGGAGAAGGCAAATGAGTACATGAACTTATCAGTGAGCCCTATTACAGTCATCTGAGAACAAGGTGTTTAGTAACATACTGTAGTTGCAGTCATCTGCCATAAAACATGGAGTGAATCAGAACAAGGTTCATAGTTCCTTCTTTGTTCCTTTGTTAATCACTGACTAGTGGGAGGCGCCTTTAGAATTTGCTAATGCATTCTTTTTGGATAAGGATGACGCACAGATTGTCCTAATAAGGACTTAGTTTGAGAAAGGAGCCGCCTTCTTTGAGAAGATGGGGGCAAGTCACAGGGCAGGCAGTTTCTTTTTTAACTGAGGGATGACACAAGCACAAGTCATTTCCTTATTAATCGGTTCAAACCAGTTCTTACAGGAACTGCTGGTGATAAATGTGGGACTTCTGAGAAGTCATTCATTTTATTCTCAGCCGTGCATCAGTGCACAGTCTTAGCTGAGCTTCTCCCCTGACTTTGAGGAAGTGCTGGAGCATAGAGCTCTCTGTGTGGCCTCTGAATTTAGCATCAATGTGCTGTGAAATCCTTTTTCTTTTTTAAATTTTTGAAAATCTGGAGGACCCACATGTCCCTCTTCTTCAGCTGAACTGAAAACACACACTGTATTATATGGGTCTCCCAGTTATCCCACGTGGGGTGATGGCTTCTGATCTCTGGCTCTAATCTAAACTTCGTTCCTTTTGAGCCAAAGGTGGTAAGTTTAAAAATAAATAAATTATTTTCTTGTGTTTTTTTTTTTCCTCTGCAAATTTTGTCTTGTTCTTGGGGATGAAATTTGCATCAGTGCTGTCCCAAGTATAGGTCCTTCTCTTCAGAAGCCGTTTCAAGAGTACTTGGAAGCGCAGCGAATAAAACTTCACCATAAATCTGACAATGGAGTACCACAGGTAAGAATTCCCTCCACTACCCCTTTTACTTTCTTCTTCACTTCTCCCCCTTGACGCCTTCCGCATTTTATCTGGTTAAGTTTTGAGTCTTGTTTTCAAAGGGCCGACAAAACTCAAAAGAGATGAAACTTGGAAAACAAGCTGATAAATTCAAAGGAAAAACTGTATTGGTACTATGTATAAGTGGGTTAGACATTTTGTCCATTTGGGAGTAAAGTAGGCAGCTAAGCAAAGCTGGTGGTTTGTCCTGATTTTTCTGTTCATTTCTTTCTATTTAATTCTTTTGCTACAATAGGCAAGCTAGCAAAAGTCAGGGAAAAGTTAACTTTATATGTATAACTATAGGTAAAGAACTCCCCACAGTATCAAATATTATTAAAGCATACAGGATTTTAATTTTTTTTGTTAGCTACTTAACCCTACTCCCCCCAAAAAACCAACCAACAAAACCAATCTTGATGGTCAAAGAAAATATAAGGAACATACATTGTTTAAATGGGGCCCTTTTCATGCAAAAATCTTTAAATACATGTCCCACAGCTTTAAATACAAAAGGATTAATTAACACTTACATTTTAGACCTGATACTTTTAAGACAACTAAGCTACTAATATACACAAATTCTTAATTTTCTATTTCAATCCCTAAGCCCTTTGTTTCTGTAAACATTTGCTTTTCTAATTCTTAACAGAAGGAGGAAAGTAATTAAAGGAAAAACAGTCTGGAATAACTCTGCAGAAGCAAATTCCACCCTTGGAAATAATTTCTGTGCAGTGCAGTGCAGTGCTGCCCTCCTTTGACCAAAATAGAAAGTTAGAAAAAAGCACAGGACAGAAAAAACTGCAATAGAAGCATGACTTTTTTTCACACTTCCAGCTACACAACTGGAAACTGATATTAATTGGAAGCTAACATCCTATAGGCACTTCAGTAAAAACTGTTAATCGGTGTCCATGTTGTACCTTCTGCAACTGATTTAATACTGGCATCACAATCTTGAACTTTGAGTCACCAACAAAGAGAAACAAAATCATGGAAAATAAATCACTTCTCCACTCACTCCCCAGAAATGATCAGGTGCCCTGTGGCGATTTGGCAGCCTCTTTCATGTTGGCTTTAAAAGACCAAAGTTAGCTTTGCAAAGAAGCTGGCAGGAATCCTCTTAGCCTGTGCTTGTTCCTGTTGTAGTCTGACAAATTATATAGAGACTCCTGAGATGGTTAGATTCTTTCCCTTTAGGCAGGAGGAGATTTCTTTTGCATTCTGCTAATCTGAATTTTTCCCCCTCGTTCTGTTTTTTTTTCTTTTTTAGGGGGATAACTGGTTATCGTGGATGTTTGAAAAACTTGTGATTATCATGGTTTGCTATTTCATCTTGTCTATAATAAACTCCATGGCCCAAAGCTATGCCAAACGAATGCAGCAGAAGATGTACTCTGAGGAAAAGACAAAATAAGCTGTGCAAAACCCATTGGAATGGGCCTTAGCAGACATGCAAGTGACGGGTCTTACCATAAGTTTTAAAAATCGGCATTATTCAAAACCGGGAAGAACTTTTTAAAATCATCAATTTTCCAGCTGTAACAAGTTTTTAATTATTTTCTCTGGAAAGTAATTCACTATTAGAGAATAACTTTCATTTACAAACGTATGTATGTTAAGGTAATGTATATATTCTCTTTCATTCAATCTGAGTTGCACTTTCTGGAGTAGCACATGTGATGCTAACAAATGTTGAACATAAATGCTTTCCATTTAAGTTTAATTCCCAAATGGACGATTTACTACTTAGCACAACTCCAGATTTCCTGATTAACTTGCAGCCTGCCTTAAAAGTAACAGTTTTGAAGGATGGCTGTCATGCCTCACAATTTCAAGGTCATTGAAATATATGTAAATGTGAGTAGACTGGGTAACAGTCTTGCATGTCCCTCATGGTAACACGAGTCCATCTGAGTTCTCAGAAATGCTGACCCATCGCACATACTCGCAGTTGGAAAAGCCGCCCTTGCCAACTTCCTAATGGTGTAAACAGAGATGGTCGATGTCAAACTGGTGCAGTTGACTTTTTTATTCTGTATATTTAGAATGAAGTCGAGATAAAACTTTATAAAGTCATCTTTGATCATTCCAGAATTTCTTGTGTCGGTCTTTATAAACTGTCTTCTCAACACTGTTGGTTATACTCAGTTCATCGTTCATTTCTTTATTAAGCCTTTGTGTAGTGTATTGCATGTAAATACAGAAAACTTTGTTCTTTTTTTTTCCTCTGAAGTTCTTGCTCAGCAGAAGGAAGTAGAAAGCATGTCCTAGGCACCTGGCAGTATGGTTTGGTTTATTTAAGTAGGCTAGTGGAATGACGTTACTAATTTTTTTATCATACGATCTAGATGTTTTGTTAATAACAGGACTACAGAGTATAGCACCGTGAGTGCTGCAGGAAAAAGTTGGGGAAGCATGGAGGTCAGAAATTAAAACAGGTTTGAAAAACATGGGAATGGCAATTAATAACCACAATAAAGAACATTAAAGTATTTAAAAATCACCATATTTATTTTCTTTTAAATATTATTATAAATCAGTGTGTGAGAGAAACTAATTTTCATTGACTGGCTAGACTTATTCTCCTCTTAGTACATAGGTAACCGTTCTACTGCTACTGTGTATATACAATGCTTTTCTGGTAGTTTCTAAACTAGGAGGAATGTAGTTTTGTTTTAGCCATGAGGAAATTAAAATAAATTGACTTATTTAATCAATATTTTTAAATGGTGGTACATGGACCCTATTTAAGATAGAACTGGCTCAAAATCATTTACATGAGGGTGTGTGCGTGTGTGTGTGTGTGTGTGTGTGTGTGTGTGTGTACACGCATTAGCATAGGGCAGTCTTGAGTAAGGCGCAGTAAATATGTATTTTGTTCAGTCTCCTACCTGATTGTTCACTTGTGTTGGCTAACCGTCGTGACATCTCCATGGCTGTACCATCCTGTCGGATAGCTTATCAGACTGATGTTGACTGTTGGATCTCATGGCAACAACAGTCGGTAGGCTGTCTGACATTTTGGTATCTTTCATCTGACCGTTTGCTCATCCATCTCAAATTCCGTCTTTCATTGAACATCAACAGGCATATACATGTTTAAAGTTCAGAATGCAAATTAATTTAAATGTAAAATGTCTCATAACTGTTTTTCTTTAACTATAGCGCTCTGCCTAAGAAACACCTTACAAAGTACATTGCAAAGTGTGTAAGATTTGTAATGTTTTTGCTTTTGTGTGCATCATACATAATTTTAAACAAATGGTCACAGTGTTACTTGAAAGCATGAGGAGGGTTTTATATAGACTCTGGGATATTTTCAAAGGTCCAAAAGGCAGTTACAAGCCCAGCACCCATTGAAATCCAATAGGTGTTGGAGACCCCACTCTTGTTTGTGCCTGGAGATTTAAAAAAAAAAAAAACCCAAAATGTAGCAGCAAACTCATATGACTAATTCTACGTGTATAAAATCTTGAGTATTTGATATTTCACAGCAATGGTTTAAATCAGTCAAAACTTTAAATCATGCAATTTGTGGTTAATCATGTGTTATATTCAACAGCTTTGAGCCATTTATTCCTCCCCCCTCTCTTACACCCCCCCCCCCCCCACACCACATTTTTTTTTAACGTGAGCCATTGGT